GTAAATGCCCCCATGCCCACCCTCGAAAACGCTTCTTACACCCACATCTGATGACCTCAAGTAGTGATGGGTGGTGCTGGCGGTTTTTCCGTTTGTATGGGAAGATTATTATACAGCATTTGGCAAATTTGGGAAACATAGGGACCTAGAAAGGTTCCCAGGACTAGCATAATGATGAAATCAATGTAAAAGGACAAATTGTTGTTTAAAGTATCCCAAAAAGCAATGTAGGACGAGAGTTATGGCAAAATCAATATGAAAATCATGGTTTAAGTGGTCATTTTGTATTTATGCAAATTAGGCATATTTCCACCACTTGGATTTTTGGACCTTTTTTAGGGGCCTTATAGAAATGCACTGTGGTGTGATATTTATGTATAAATAACTGAACTTGGATTATCAGGAAAATTCAATTGTGACATGTCCACACATGACAGCCATAATTTTAACTTTAATTTATGCAAATTAATATATTACATTTATGCAAATTATTATACGGCATATGGCAAATTTGGGAAACATGGGGATCTTGAAAGTTACGTAGGACTACATTAATTATGAAATCAATGTAAATGGACTACAATTGTCGTTTTAAGTACCTGGAAAAGCTATCGAGTATAAGAAATATGACCAAATCAATGTGAAAGTCCTAAAATGTTCGGCCATTTTGGATTTATGCAAATTAGGCATATTTCCACCACTTGAATTTTTTTGGACTTTTAGTATGTCATTTTAGGGACCTTATAGAAATGCACTGTGGTGAAAAAAATTATGTTGCAATTTGTTTGAGGTTCACTCAAAAAATGAAGTATTTTGCCTGGACTATAAGGCAATGAATGTATTTATGTATGTTCTTGTTATGCTAAATAGCCCTACTACTTCTTTTTAACTTTTTTTTTTGGTCTGTATATACTAGATCATGATGTTAAAAAAAAACACATTTGTTTCTCTCGCTGGTGCATTAAAAATATTCCACAATAAAAATCAAAGGTAAAAAACAGAGTTGTAACGAGTCCCTGATTTTTGTGACTCGAGTCGAGTCGAGTCATTAGGTCAAGAAGGTTGAGTCGAGTCGAGTCACAGTGTGTAGTTGAATCGAGTCGAGTCAAATATTGAGCTCGAGTCAATTCGAGTCACGAATATTTGAACACTGTAAAACAAATAAAGACAAGAGAGAAAGTCATTCGTATCACTAACAGTTAACAAAAAGTAAATCTTCAGTCTTTTAGGCTATCTGGTTCGGCTTTGGATCTATATTTTTTTCACTGATCGCTGACGACATCAAAATAAAATTGCATAATGGTTATTTAAAAGTGGGCATGTATCTGTTTTAATTTTAAAAAGGAGGGCATAATTTAGCCGGCGTTCGAATCCAAGAGCTCAATAAGAAATCGCCCAAAGCCAATGATGAAACCACAAATTGGAAACAGTGTTTTTAATAAAAATGTGATAGTATTTTCTGCGATCCAGAACCACAAGGTGGAAGTCTGCGACACGTTGTATGTTTGTACAAGCGGCTGCCGTACCGTACTGTATTCGCAAAGTGACGTGAACATAATGTCTGCACCGTATTTCATTGCAAATACTTTTGCTTTTATTTTTGGGACTCGAGTCTTATTAGCCTTCGCTCGAGTCGAGTCTTCTGATGAGGGACACGAGTCGAGTGGAGTCGATTTGCTCACAGTGACTCGAGTCGAGTCGATCGAGTCATTTACCCTCAGGGACTCGAGTCGAGTCGAGTCGAGTCGGACTCCAGTCGAGTCATTGACTCGAGTCATTACAACTCTGGTAGAAAAGACAAGAACTATTTTCTTTTCTTGGTATCTTCGATTCCCTGCTCCTCTTCAACATAATTACCGCCGTAAATATAAAACGCACCGATTTTTTTTCTCGATGAATAATTTAAGATGTGGCCTGAGACTGCTGTTCATTTTTATCCCAGTATAGACGAATATCAACTTGGAATTGAAACTAAGGCAGTCGGTGCTAAGCCAATGTCAGTGGTGTAGCCAGGGGGTGCAGAGTGGCAGTTTGCAACGGGGCCTGGAGATCTTAAAAGCAAAACCGGGACGCTGATAGAAGTATTATTGGAAAGGTGACAATGGGTTAAACGGGACGAAAACTATATTTTGCAACCGGCTACGCACCTGGACAATGAATTACATTGAGGACCTTTTCTTTTTAATCCTCTCAACAAAAGACAACACTGGGGACCTCGATTTCGATGCCACTTTGAAGTTCGTCAATCTTAGAGCGGTTATCTTGAAGAAAAAAATACAGCATCATACGAACCGGAACACATTGTACACCAGCAATAAGCCCAATCGTAGTTTCGTGTGAGCAATGAATTGTGGGACAAAATTGTGGATGTTAACAAACCCACGTGATGCTGACAGCTAGCCGTCTATTGGACTATGATCGCGTGGCGCGTTTTGTTAAGGCGAGTTCGCACATGCGCGAGCGAAACCTCGATTTGGCTTAGGGCGCACAGACTTCAATACTAAAAGCCATCAACGTGTTCCATGCATCAGTTACCCCACACGTTCGTTGATACGAGCTCTGGCAATAGACTTAAATCTGATAAGTTAAAAAGAAATTTAAGTTAAGCAATTTTGATGGTCGTCGGCAAGATGCTAAACAACATCCAAATCAACCAACCTCTCCTAATTAAAAAAAAATTGAAATTGAAGGATGGATTTGTACGTCTGTATACTTCAGCCACGAGCCCAGTTTGTCATCATTTGCGAGTCGATATGCGGTCGCGACCCAATTTCTAATTGCTGAAATTGTGTTGACAACTTGAGCGCCTGTGCGTTGCGCCAAAATTGAGAGAAAACTGCATGGGCGCCAAATTAAGGAAGCGTAACTGATAGCAATGCCATGGCTTCGGAGAGACTCAATCAGCGAGGTAAGAGTGAAGACGGGAAGGTTTCCAAAAGGATTGTATACTACAATGTTGCTGATGCGTGTGTGATAAACGGATAGATCTTGGAAACAAACGATATGCATTCTTTTTCCTTCATCACTAAAGTGATGTTCAACTCCTCAATCTAACCGAAATACAATCTGAAATTAAACAGGGCGCCGAATTGTTGGATTCTAGATGCTCTGTGGAGCAATCTGAGGCAATTTCTAAAAAAAAAAAAACTCTGTTTGAGAAAAAGATGGTGGTGTACGCAGTGCCTGCCTTTATTGCGACGTAAACAAACATTGGGTTCATTTTTTTGGGGGGGGGGGCATGGCCCATGTTGCCCCCCCCCCCCCCCGATCCGCCCTTGACTGTTTTTAAGGCTATCGATTACAGGACTGTTCACTAAATCCAGCATTGGGATTTTTCTCTTCACGGATGTATTTCTATAAACACTGTATGATCAGTGTTTATAAAAAAAAATCCATCTCATGAATTGATTATTAAATCGAAATGTTGAAGGAGACAGGAATGTCTATTTTCCGATGAAGTTGGTACCGCTTCACATTAATGTATTTTTATCACTTCACATATTTTTCTATCGCGGTAAGAAGACAACGTAATTGGAATAAGAAACCGGTGTAATAGGAAATTCTGTCACCCCTGGTAAATCTGTCCCCCGGACTGATTTACCGGGTCGCGACCCAGTAAATCTGTCACGCAAGCAGAGTTACCGAGGTAAATCTGTCCCCCTACAGGTTATTCTGTCCCCCTGCCTAACCGTCTCCCCTGCAGTAAATGTGTCCCCGTGCGACGCATAATAACTCTAGCACCCGGACTGTGCACTGCGGATATCGTTCGATACCAATCCCATTTTTTTCTCTAGACATTTACAAATTTTACTTTCCTTGTCTGTGAACTTATTTTTTTTTGTCTTTTAACATAATAAACCAGAAACGGAAACTGCTCATGGTCCCTGGAATAATTTGAACTTCTTAAAATGTTTGCAAACTTTTTGGAAAATAAGGAAAAGGAAAATAAGAAAATTCATTACGCGCTATGTTGGGAACATTGACCAATCAAAGTAGGCGTTACATCAATGCGGTCATCGCCGCGCGCGCCAGGCATGTTTCGGACTCGACTTCCATCGATCTTGAGAATTACTACGCGTGCAAGTCTGAAGAATACGGATTATTGCCATTTCTGCGCAAGAAGCATAGGTCGATTGATTTCACATCTAAGTTAAATATTTTCATTTGGATATCTTCATATTTTGTTTTGCAAAATCTGCGTGTCTATACAACTATCTTATCTTGGTTTCTATACATTATTTTTTAGATGGAGTATTCTTTCGTATTTAGATGCAAGAAATGTTACTTAAAAAACCTAGCAGTCCATTTATTTCTCTAAGTGACACAACGGCGGCTCCAGGGCGTCCATATGGCACCAGTCGAAATTAATATCATACGCCGCCATCACATCAACACGCACTGTGTAATAGCGAATTTAATTTTGTAATGATTATGCCTCGCATTCTGAAAAAAAAATTGTTTGCGGTACCCACAATCTGCAATGCAGACGTTTCAAATAATTAATCTCTTTAGGGTGTGATTTCGGGTGTGACAAATAAAGTTGCGGAAGATTTGTTTTAATTCGTATTTTATTTAGACAAAACACGTCCTTTAACCAACCTGTTTGATACTGTGTATGTTTGAGAGTACCAATATAGAAATGCCGGACACATTTTTCTAACAAGAAGGTTCTTCAATAATATTTCAGAATTTCTTGGCAAAATCATTTTTAGGACAGAGATGTCTACACAGATTTGCTGAATTACGTTTGTTTAGGTCAAAACCCGCTTTAAAAGTTGCCCTCAACACAATTTTGCATCATGTAATTCATAAAATCCATTAATTGCTCTTCATCATAAAAGCCTCCGTGTGAAGAAAAATAAACAGAGAGAATTTTCAGGGTTTTTTGCGGAAACTGTCTTCTGCAAGAGGGAGAAACTTAACTATATTTTGGCTTGGTCGGAGTTCTGCCGAATCGAGGTTGGTCAGACTGATTTGACATCACTTGGTTGTTTCCATTAGGTGCGTACGTGTAGCCTACGAGTGTTTGCATCGCCGGTCATTTCTACCAACTTCGTGCCAAGGAAAAACAGAACTTCAAATTTGGTAAGTTCAAACCTCTCCGGTTATTTCATTCCAAGATGATCAAGGCGAAAGGGCCTCAACTGATTCACAAATGATTATGATATATCAATTGGTCTGGGTTTAAAGGCATAATTATATAATAATTTGCATTTATCCCGTAAGTCAAAAGCTTAGGCTACTTAAAGATCGTACTGGTAACGAAACTCCCCGTGAAATTATTTCGTCTGTCCTGCTGTCATCTATGATTTCTGACGATCAGATTGACTGATTTTGGAAGTAAAGACTTGAATACATGACATGTAGGTGAAATCGTGTTCCGTGATCAAAAAAGGTTGTGTATGTTTTTCACTGTGTTTTTTTTAATGTGTAATAATTCACTGAGATGTTATATTTTGAACATTCATCTTTGGAATTTTTGAGTGATGTTATTATTGGAAACAACAAAAGATACATAAAAAGCAAGTGCTCCTTTAATATGTCTGTCACTTTTCGTCGCGTTTTTTGTCCATACTGGCGAGCAGGTAGCACCGCGCCTTTTCCATACCAGCGAACAGGTATAAACAACTGTGCTACACGTTCGCCAGTATGGTAAAAACGCGACGTTTTCTTAAAAAAAACACATTCGTAACCATTTACATATGACATCAATGGTTCGCTAGCGCTCTGCCTGTAAAATTTCAAATTAATTGGCCGTAATTGTACACACGAGAGGTATAAAGCCTCCGCGTAAATTTGGAAAGGTAATTTTTCTTGAGCCAATAGTGCTATATATCATGTTATAATCAGAAACGAAAGAATTTGTCCAGAATACAAGCAAGCCTTATAATGTGCAATTGATGCATTTTTTTTTGCCCAGTGTTTTGAAATATAAGAAGACACGGTCTTTCGACGCAAACAATGTATGGTTTGTTGCAACGCTCTCCCGGGATTCTGCTTTGAATAATGTTCTTTCGCTGTGCCATAAATATCATCCGCAGTTAGTACAGGAATATGGAAACCTCAATTGTTTCCAACTGAGTAAACAAATATAATGAGCATTCCGATCGTTCTACATTTATATTGTTAACGCAGGGGTGTTGTTTTGGGAGTACCGCAGGTGCACGCAATGTTAATGATCCTGTGTTGTTTTCTCAGCGACTTTACCCTATTCTTATGGATCGAGGACAAGTTTTGATGTCAGTGCCTTGTTTCTCTGCCTGTTCTTACCTTCAGTCTTGCCTTTGCTCGTATAGCGTTTCGCTCTGCAGTAATTTGCAGGCTGTTGTACCAACGTGCTTACAAGGGTAGATCGAGAACACACATTTTGGGGGGGGATGCCAACAAAAAAATTTGGTCCCCGAAAAAGTGGGTCCCAAAAATGACGGCGTGGGGTTCGGGGGCCCCGAAAAAAAATGGATTCTAGATGCCAGTGATGTAGTGCCTTGATGCTGGGCCTTGGCCTTAAGGCTGCCTTAAGGCTGGATTTTGGGGCCTTGGCCTTGGCCTCGAGGCTTGAGGGCAAAAGCCTTGGCCTTGGCCTTGGCCTTGAGGGATCACAGCCTTGCAATTTTGAGTCAAGGCCCTTCAAGGCCCATAGATTTTTGCATTTTCCAGATAAATCTGTTCGAAATTTTGCTGTTACCATTTTAATCGTATTACCATGGAGGAGGGAAACCCCTTGTAGATTTGTGTGTTGGGCACACTTCCACTTTTATAGCATCACATGTTGTTACCATTGTAGTAGATTTGCTGCAAAAATATTCTGTACACTTGTGAGGCTAATGAGATGATCACTTAAATTGCATACAATTATGGAATAGATTGGTCATTCCACCGGGTTGGGGAACAAAGTGTGACATATGACCATATTAAGAAAAGCATGAATGCCTTGCTAGCAGTTGCTCTACATAATATTTGTTGTTGGGTGTTTCACGACTGCAGAAAGTTTGAAATCATTTCAATGTATTTTGCCAAAAATATGAGCAAAAAATGTAATTTTGGATGTAACATTGACCCCGTGTCAGTGTTACGTCCAAATATGACATTTGTTATCTTCTTTTTTTTAATTTCTTCGAAATATTACCCAAATTTACTTTGCGTACTTCTTACTATAGATGCAACACAGTTATGGTAGTCAGACATCAAATGGAGCAGAAATGATAGCTTGTTTGTGTGGATGTAACATTTACACGGTGTAAACCCCAAGTGTCACATTTCCGTTGAGTGATTTTTACACCGTTACATCCACACTTGAGGTATTGTTTCTGCCATATTTGAACCCTGACTATACCAAAACAAAAGTTTGTCTTGGTGCTTAGGTGTCCAGTTGCAATGTCAATTTGGGTAACATTTTACATACGCGTGTAAAATATGGCAAAAAAAGAATTTTTGGATGTAACATTGAAACAGTGTCAATTATGTTACATCCGAATTAATACATTTTTGCTCATATTTTTGTCAAAGTACTTTCAAATGATTTCAAACTTTCTCAAATATTGAAACACCCTAAGACAAATATTATGTTAAGCAATTGTTTAGAATGCATTGATATTTTTAATAATATAACCAAATATATGGATGTAACATGCACTGCTTCCCAACCCTGTGGAATGACCCAGATCTGATTGGTTGTATGTCTCCCTGATAAGCGCTAAAGATTTGCATGTATCTGTTTTAGATAATGCTCATATTTCTGACCATGTTGGCCCAGCAAATAAACATTTCCCAAATCAGTTTCTTGGATCCCCCTTTTGTTACACTCGGGAGAATTGTGCGTCACTATAGAAGTAAATCTTTATTTTGTTTTAGTTAAACCACATTGAAGACCTGCACTTATACTTTAATAGATGTAATGCAGTCATAAAACGGTGCATGCGAGCATGTTGATTGCAATTTAAGACATGTTGTTCTTCTTAATGGGCAATTCGTGATGATGTGTCATGTGACTATAATTAGTTCTATATCAGTGGTCATTTTATAAAACAGGGCCTTGGCCTTGGCCTTAGCCTTGAGGGTTAAGCCTTGGCCTTGGCCTCGAGGCTTGAAGGTCCAAGCCTTGGCCTTGGCCTTGGACTTGAGGGTCAAAGCCTTGGCCTTGGCCTTGGCCTTGAAGGTTTAAGCCTTTGCTCCAACACTGCTAGATGCTCTGTGGTGCGATCTGAGGCTATTTCTGACTACTTTATCCAAATCTTTCGGAGGAAAAAGTATTGTACACAGTGCCTGCCTTTATTGCGACGCCACTTAAACAAAAAAAAGAGAACAATTGGTTTCGTTGTGCGTAATGCTGCTTTACAAGAATCGAAACAAACCTATGAAACAATACTCCTTTGACAATAATTGAAGCATTGACTTGATAATAAGTCAAATTTGAACATTTCGAGCGGATCGCATTATTGTATTTCTGTTATTCAGTGAAAATGTTTTTTCATTCACGGATCATACAATTATTACCAGACAAATGTTCGTGGTCGGTTACGTATTCAAATCAAAGACTTTTTCTTTCCGACTTTCAGGTAAATTCCCAGCAAAACATTAAATTAAGATCATCCAGTCATACTGGTAAAAACAAATGTGCAAATTTTAATAAGTGAAGAGGAAAAATCTACAGTTTTGCGAAAAAAAGAGTGTTTAACTAACACCGGATTTTTCTCTTTTGCTCGTGACACAAATGTATCTGTAAAACGAGCGTTGCGTTATAGGTGTGGTCGGGACTACGTCAGCCGATGAAAACATTATGATATTCATTTGCACATCGGTTTCCACCTGTTGCAATGAGCTACCATTCAACACTCCAGACACAAGAACCATTGCGTTTTAAGTAAATAAGTCTGGCAACTAGACAAGGCAACTAAGAAGCTCCCGGATGTCTGCATGTATACCCATAATCTCAGTGGTGTCAGTTTATTTAACATCGCCGTTTCAGCAGCAAAACCTAGTTGATTTTGTTTTCAATGTTTCTGTTTCTTACAGTATCAGGACCTACCAGCCGTTGAAGTGTCGCCACACATGATGTCCCGATTGTCAGTAGCTTCGCTGGGATTTGCCCTCCTTGTTTTGGCGGGAATCTGTTTCGTCTGTTCCTTGGCGCAAATGGACGAACAGCCGGAGGTCTTAAAAGTGAGGCACCCGTATTATTATGACTGGAACATCATGGAGCGCAGGGGACTTGGGGTAAGGGAAGTTAGTCGAATAAATAAATTATAGCTATCCCCAGGGAATATCAATATGAGTCCACCAAGTATTGTAAAGTAACCTTACATGTTAATGGAAAGATTCCGACATGTCTTTTTTCTCTTTCTGTCTTAGCATAAACGTCTCTTAAACACTCATTCCACTGAATAAAGATCCATCGGCGTCTCTGTGCTTTTAAGTACCATTAATTCATTCTCGATCGTATAAATGATGCTAACTATATCAATACCAATTATCGATCGACATCATCATTGATCAGTTTTCGATCGTACATCATCAATAATATTGGATCAAAAGTCATAAACAAGCATCATTCGTTGTAAACTATCTGTGATCAATAATCGATTGGAAATCAATCAGCAATCACCGCTCATTACGTCGGCAGGCCCCAGTCGTTGAACTGGATCGCCTTAGTCAAAAGTCATCGATCAAAGTTGGATTTTATCGGTCGAAAACGATTTTTATTGATGGGAGTTTAAAAGTTTGTTTTTGCACCTGTTATACGATTTTGATGATCGTAAATTGTAGAAAATTTGACATATATTGCAGATATTTTTAGCTGCGGGATAGCAGCTCAACGAATCACCACGTCTCTCCGTTAGTGCGTTAGTAAGTTAGTAACAAACGTTGACATTGTCTATTGCTCGTACAGATTCTGACCGATTTCAACCAACTTTGTCAAAAGCATCCGTAGCCCAACCCCAAGATGTCACATGACCAAACTGGGGTCAAAGGTCATCATGTGATCACTGAGGTTAAAACATGATGAAAACTACCCCTTCCAGAAATTACATGGCACAATCACGTGACTCATGTATAAACACGAATTCGTTGGCCCGCAGCTTCCGAGATATTTCCGATCGAGCTTGTTTTAATAACCTGAAGTAACTGTACAATCTGGCGACAAATTTGGTAAAGTTACTAATCCGTACACTGCAAAAACTGCAGTGTATAATTTACACCACTGGTATCTTTATACGACCATGAAGTGTTAAATTTTACTGGTGTTGTCCTATATAGATACCGAATGGTGTTAAATTAACACTACAGTTTTTGCAGTGTAGCATCTCATTCAACAAGTTTAGAGTAGGTTTTTATTGTTTTGATTCGATAAATGCAGGTGGCAATCGGCTGTCAAACCGCAACATGGAAACTATCAATTGTTTTTTTTTCTCTGGTTTCGATTTGTTCAGAATTGTTGTTTTTTTCTCTTTTGTTCGATTTGTTCAGGCCCGAGAGCAGTGCACCGGACAAGGCAAAGCGTGCACACCAAGGATCACACGGTGCTGCGGCCGTATGGGTTGCTATGACTACGACGGGGAGAAGTGTGACGTCTCAAGGGAAAGATGCATCTGCCGAAATCGTCAATATACCGTGGATTATTATCATTATTAGGTTTGTTTAACCTCGGTAGTCTTACAATCAATCGGTAGTATGATGCAATTGGACATGTGAAGCGCATGTTTTTATTACCTCCACCGATCGGAAGTTATGTTTTTTATCGGCGTTGGTTTGTTTGTTTGTGGGTTAGTTTCTTGGTTGGTTGGATGGTTGGTTTGTCGGATAACAAGATAACTGAAAAAGTTACCGACGGCTTTTCTGAAGAAAAAATAGGGGTGGTCCTTGGTACAAATACAAATCTATTAGATACAATACAATTGTACTCAAGATGTGCCTTTTGATATTTCAAAGTTGCGTGACACCTTACTTCCGGTGTTACCGGAAGTGAAAATATAATAATTTTACCACGATTTATCTAGAAGTGTGGCTTGGAACTCCACGTGGCCATTGCATTCACCAATATTAATGCAAACTACGAGTACAATGCAGTGGCGCCATAATCGCCACAATGCATTGTAATACGATATCAACTTTTGTATATAACGGTATATCATATAGAATATCGAAGTTTGATGACAGCTGTCTTTGTTCTGGTTCACGCACTGGTTCGCGTGCTGAGGTCAATATGCGCGTGAACCACAATACGTGGGACACTTCGTTTACTCTGTTGTACTCAAGATGGGCCATTGATATTTAAGGTAACGTGATACTTTACTTCTGATGTTACCGGGATTTTACAGTCTCTCACTCTCCAGAATAATATTAATCTTAACGGATTAAAACTTCATGTCAGCGTTAAAACGTTTGTATAATACAATGATGTCATTATGTTGAACATGGTTGTGTTGTCATGACGGCATGAACTGGAATATTAGCACTAAACGCTTTGTGTGATTTAGTTTTAATAAAAAATAACCTTCCAAGGTGATCAAATAAGGAGTTATATTTGGGGAAAATAGAACGCCCCCTGGATCACAGTTTTACTGTACCTGTGTCAAAGCTGTATCGTTTACAACGTAACATCTGCAGATTTTTCATATTGTCCAGAAATGCCTGGACAATGTGAAAAATGTCCCCGTTTGAGCATAATTATGTTTATCATTTTGACCAAAGACAGTATGAGAAAAACATATACAAAATAGCTAAATATAAGTACGATGAACACAAACGAAAGAAGAACGAAGACAAACGATATGATTGATTGAGGAGCATCACCCAAAATGCATGTATACACCTAAGGGAGTTATAATGGTACAAATTACCAAAATAATCAGCTTTGAAACACCTAACGTGCTTATTTATAACGGAATTGAGAGGCAGTTTTTAACCATTTTCAATAGTTTGTGGCTGCACAATAATATTATGCCTTAAAAAACCGCTTTTCAAATTGGGTTTTTTTTCTGACACAGAGCTGGGGGTTGGGTTGACTCCCAATCCCCCCCCCCCCCGATCCGCGCCTGAATGGTGTGAATCCTACTTGTCTAATCGACATCAAACCATTTGCATCAAAGGAGTGAAGTCTGTCCCTACTGTCCTTGACTGTGGTGTTCCTCGAGGCTCTGTCGGAGGGCCTTTACTATTCACCATCTACATCCAACCACTTGTCAAATCATCTAAAAATACAACCTACAGTAGCACTGCTATGCTGATGGCATTCAACTGTATCAGTCATTTCAACCCAACCAATGTAATGCTCTGTCGACTCTAAACAATCTTAAGGCATGCATCAATGAGATCAAGTCATGGACGGCGGCAAACTGTCTCAAGTTAACGTTAAATGATGGGAAATCAGAATTCATTATGTGTGGATCTAAACAACGACTCGCTAAGATCCCCTGTATCCGCATTGGTGGTTCTGTCATCCTACCTTCCACAACATGTCGGAACTTCGGTTTACTTTTGATTGCAACATGTCACTCATCAATCACGTCGCATACGTATCCAAATCAGTCCGTTATCACCTCATGAATCTCGGTTTCATCCGTAAATACCTCAATCGCACAGCCACAGAACAACTGATTCATGCTTTCATATCTTCCCGCCTGGACTTAGCAACTCCCTCCAGGTACAACCTGAGCAAAGTGAGCGACAGGGCTTTCAGTTTCCAATGTTGTTGCATTCGACATGGGCGTCGCGACGGGGGGGGGGGGGGGGGGCAAGGGGGCGTTTGTCCCCCCCCCCCCGGAAAAGAAAGGGGGAAGAAATAGAAAGAAAGAAAAAGAGGTGTGAAGTCATATCTGCTATTTAATTTAATACACAGTTAACAAAATGGGCGTTTGCAGGGGTGTCAATGTGATGGGATGCGCAAACGTCCCCACCCCGCCCACCAAAAACAAAATGATCAATTCGGGCGATTCACAATGCAGTGTGCCACCAAGAAATTACCATGGAGAGTTAATTTTGGGTACTTATATGGCGCTTTTAACGAAGATCAAAGCCATTTACATTATCATTACCACTGATCGTTGGGTCAATGAGACATTCTAAATACAATATCAGCTCCCTGGGGAGTATACAGCTCGATGCAGCCACTTCGGCGAATGGCAGCTGAAATCAATAACGATACGTCGCTGCCCTCACGTGTCCGTTTGTACCAGGGTGGGGAGAGCAATGAGAGACAAATTGAGTGCTTTGCCCAAGGGCACACGCACCACAACCCCAGGGCGAAATAGCAAACATTTGTTTAGTCCATACACTTCTCTTTTGTTCACCATAACTGATTGCAATGGTACCTCACCAGTTTTCCTCTCATACCTAAACGGAGAAGTTCCAACAGTTCGTACAATGTAGACACGAAAAATTCTTTCGTTGGCTCAGAGCATTTTTATTATGCCCTGCAAAAACAAGAAAGCCATAAAAACATGTATTTTTAGATGATTCGCATATGTTACTTAAACTCCAGGGACTCAGAGGCTCCTAAAACTCCAAACTGAAGTCTACCGACACTGTGTCTGTTTTTGAGTAGTCATTATGTGAAAAAAATAGATCACGTCTCCCATATTAGGCAGCTTTTTCTGCTTCTCATACCTTGACTGGATGGCTGGCTTTTAAAAAAGATTGGCATCACAAATGTATATTCATGAGTAGAAAGGAGGGAAATTGCAACAGTTTTCACCAAAGACACATGGACAATAATTTCACCCTCTCATTTCCAACAAGCCTCCTTCTACAGTATCAGATTTAGAGGGGGAGGTTGGAACCCCCTCTGCCGTTCAGCAGCTGCCTAATTTTATAAGCTATTAAAATGGGACCAAAAAATAATAAATGGAATGCTCAAATTCTTAATTTTATTTCTGAATTGCCTTAGAATACAAGACAGATCATCGTACCTTTCAGAATCTTCAGGGGCATGTCCCCGTCCCCTATCAGGGCGTGCCTTCTGTACTCCTTAGATTCAACCCGCCTGTATATCACCCCCCCCCCCCCCGTCCCATATCACCCTCCTCCCCTTTTCCTGAAAGCTAGATCCGCCCCTGCTCAATTTGTAAAGGTTCTGTCGCCCGGCGTCGAGAACGTAACATATGTTACGTCGTTGTATTCAATGTTCCTATGTTTAATGTTCGTTTTAATGAATGCACTTTTTAATTTGTAATATATTGTCTTTGAACTGAATGCCTGTGGGCAATAGTGATTAGGTTCACTGTTTTTGTTTCGAAGAGGTTTTTTTCCCGATCAAAACCACGTGCATACGGTTTTCAGCAAAGATTCTTATTTTGGACCGGCAACACAATGACAAAGCGCATTTTCGCATATTCCATAGCGTCACTCGGCGTTACTTGGCAGAGGTCTCTGTATCGGCCAATGGAAGCCAGCAAAAAGGGTGATATTTATTAATTAATACAAATTCGTGAATGAGGCTTTTATGCAAATTTTTAGTGCACACCATAATGGAAAGGAACCTTATTAAGATTGACGGATATTGCAAACACCAGTGTTACAACTTTTAAAAATGCACGTAGCCAGGCCTATTTTTCCAATTTAAACGAAAAGTAATGAACATATCACAACAAATTTTAGCACAAACTTGGATCGTTATAAGGGAAATAAACCCTGAAAGTTGCAAGAAGATACGGTCTTCCAAACGGGAGAAATTAATTTTCAAAGATTTCGCCCGCTAACGTAAACATGTGTGTGTACATGTAGTTTCATTGAAAATAAAGTGTTACGTAACCTTTAGAAATCGCCCTTTCGCAACCACACGGCCCATGACGTCATCATATATGAACTTTATACTTTTTGTGAACTGGTGGATAATGCCCTGGGCAATACTTTTAATATCAGGGCACTAAAACTGCTTGACCTCTACTTACCAGGAACTATTTTATACTGATATCTTGGTACATTTTCTATTTTTTTGGCCAAAACTAATTGTAATTGTATCTCACTATTTTCTGTCATACTTTAATGCAGGAGAGTGCTTACAATGTGGCCACGAACCATTCTTTCGTTAGCATAGAGCAAACTTTTATTATGCCCTGCAAAGACAAAAAAGTCACAAAATACATTTTATTTTAGAAAATAAGCATATTTTGTTGCTTATGCAGAAAATTAATGATTCGTACAGTCTAGCCACGAACCATTCTTTTGATAATTCAGACAATAATTTTAGTACGTCTGTGCAAAGACAAAACAGCCATGAAACGTGTATTTGTAGATGATAGGCATGTGTTACAATAACTCCAAGGACTTTAGAGGCCCCGTCAATCTCCAAATTGAAGTTTGTCGTTTATATTTTCGGGTAGCCATGTGCAGCACCAGAAATGCGCTTCAAAAGTTAGAATATGTCTTCTATATTATTTGCCGAGGAAGCAATCAACTTCCATTAAAGCAAACATTGATCAAACTCCTTTTTGTGCGGTAATGTGGTTAGGGTTTGTGACTCATGATCAGAGGGTCAGGAGTTCGAATTCAGCTGCTGGCCATATGTTGTGTCCTTGGGCAAGCCACTTCATCCACACTTGCCTCTCTCCACACAGGCGGGTCAATGGGTGCCGGCATTAGCTGGGGAGTAACTTGCGATGGACTAGCACCCCATCCAGGGGGAATAGAAATGTTCTCTGAAACCGGAGATAAATGCCGGCGCGGCCCAATGGGTCACATTGGCTCGTGACAGACTTTACTACTTAATTACTAATTTTCATCATCTAAAAAATGGTGGGTAAATGCCCCCTGCCCACCCTCGAAAAAAATGATAGATTGAGAATATGCTGGCAAAAGCACAGGGATTTTTGGGGGGCCGGGGGAATGTGGTTTGCCCCCCTCTAAAAAAAGATCCTGCCGACGCCCGTGGCGTCTTCTTTTGGT